CGATTCTTAACGACCTCACCGAAGAAAGATAAGATCAGGAAAGGTGCACATTGTGAACTCGACTCCTATCAAAATATATGCAATCGCATTTCTGTGAACAAAGGGGCTGGCATACTGTACTGCTACAAGACGCATTGTTGAAACGTTCTCCGTGATCGGAATAACTGCGCAGGATGCGGGAACAGATGCCGGTTCAGGCAAAGTTGTTGTGGTGGAGTTTGTACGGATGTTGTCTACAATGTTGATAACTGCGGCAAGTGTGACAATCGATGCTTACCTGGAGTCAAGTGTGAGTTTGGATATTGTGGTTATGCATAATTATATTAAATATTATGTATGTTGATTTTGATCAAATATTCGCAATGCCTTTTTTAAAGATCTTTTGATGATGTCGATATATATATATACTTTTGTATAGCATTAAATAGACTCGGTGGTAAAATAGAACGTTGTTTTCTCTAGAAGGCTCAATTTCAAATAATTGTGTATGCAATGTGTGCGTTGTGAATAGGTTAAAAATTCCGAACAAATACTATCTTATTATCAGCCCTCGGAAAAGCATTCAATTTGAACTGCCAGCAACATTATGAGTTTTTTTGTCCATCCTTCATGGGATGCAAAGAACAAAGTCATCAACTTTTGCCACTAAGGCCTTAGCTACTAGCATTTATGATCGACCAAAAATGTTATCCATCACTCCCAGTTCCAGTCAAACTAAAACTTCTTCAGACAAGATAATAGTAGCCCATTGCTAGAAGTATCAGCACCATTGTCGCAGCAGGGGCAGCCCATATCCAATAGTTGGTCGACTTCCTACGTTTCAGCATGACTCGTGGAAGTGACTCGAGTCCTTTATTTCGATTCCTATACCTAGCATTATTCTCCTTTGGTACTTTATCCTTCACTGAAACAGGAGCGGTAACAGGTGCATCAAGAGTGAAATCTACCTTCTCGGTTTCTGAATCCTGTGCCACAGCTTCGGATGAATCCTTGGGATATGCTGCTGCCTTCTTCTTTGCTTTCTTTTCACGCTCCTGCAAAAACAGATCAAGAGAGTTTCAGTTTCAACCCACAAACTAATTACGAATAAGAAAAACCAAATAATGAAGCAAATGATTGCCTTGAGCTTCTTTTCAGCTTCCATTTGAGCTCTTCTAGCAGCTTTGACAGCCGCTTTCTCAGCCAACTTCTTTCTTTCCATGGCATGCTTTGCTTTTTCCATTTCCTGCTGTCTCTTCAATTCTTTCAGTTTGGCTTCATCGACTTCCTTGTCTGCAGAAGTGTCATTTTGCAACTTGCCAGATCCCGAGATCTCCTCCGCTACAACACTATACTCTGACGAGGATTTTAATTCCATTAGTTTAGTCTCGGCATCTTTCGAAACCTTTTTGGTGTGTAGGAATCTGGTTGGGGACCTGATTTGGCTTCTTCCTTTGGTTGTCTTACACTAGGTCTCAGAATTGTTTCCGTTTCAGATTGCACCGGTTTCTCGGGTGAAACCAGTGGTTTCTCATCAGGATTCCTTATCCGGCCATCCCGACTCAATTGCCGAGTGTCCAAGGATGGCAAAATTCTTTTCTCATAATCATCTCTGAAGGCTTTCTTGCCATTCCAGAGAGCCATGAACTTCTCAACCTAAAAGCAATATAAAAGATAAAGAGAGTAGCCAAATATAAAGATATGAGATGCTCCGGATGTAACACTAATCAGCAGTCTCAACAAACCTCTGCAGTCGAGAACTCCTCAAGCGCCGTTATATCTTTTCCCGCAGCAAGCATTTTAGCCTTGTTTACAGCTGAACGACTTTGGTAAAAGGGAGCATTCTGAAAATTTGAAACGAGAAGTAATTAAGACAATTCATTAGTAATATCGTGCACGAGAATATGTGAAAGTTGACCTATATTATGTATTATTTAACATCATGCTAATCCTAGATAGAATGAAAAGCACTGACAAAACCGTATAAAGTAAGTTATGCAGGAACAATTTATCAATCTACAAAAAAGATTAAGAAGCAGAAGATCTTAAAAAGGATTTCTATCTTTATATGCACAAGGATTACGATACGGTTATTTTTCTACATCGTGAGCCACTCTTTCCCGAAAGGTCTCCTTTGCTCTCATGCACTGAACCAACATAAAGGGTTCTATAGTAATACGGAAAGTCCAGACTTTGGAACTTTGGCCTCTTGATGTAGTGAAAACAAATACTGATATAAAGTTAGCTCATTTCGTTGAGAGATTAAATATTTAATCGATAGTATAATTAAATAATGTCCCAGTGAATATGATACTAAAGAAAACACTAGTGATCAACGTACGAGCACCCCTGTATTCAAACTCAAGCATCAAAACACAAACGCAACCTGGTTAAGACTATTCAACCACACAAAACACGATTTGCTGGCAAATGGCAATCTCTTATGGTGCATGACAAAAATGAATCAACAAGATTCCAAGAACATACATTGTTCAACTCCCATAACACAGGCAGAGAACTGTCAAAACATTTTTCATTGTGAAAAACCCGGAAATGCACACAAGACTATCTTAAGAGACATTACTTATTCAGGTATGAATTAAATTGTTTCGACATCATCAGCATATGAAACAGATATGTTTAAGATTTGAAGGAGAGAAAAGATAATACCCCTTCATCACGTTCTTTCCACAGATCCTGAATGTTTCCATATGCTTCATCCCTCGTCTGGGTCACAGCTTCCAGCTCCTTCTGTAAAGACTCCATTTTATTCTCAATAACATCCAATTTACCTTTAATTTGCCTTTTTTTGGACCAGATTGCTTTCTGCTCCTTCTTTACTCCATTCAAATCAACACCCATAAGCTACAATAAACCAAGTTTTTTTAGTGTGCAATGCTATGATGTTTTATATTCACAAGGAAAGGGGAAAATCGAACTTTGACGGATAAATGTGCAAAATCAAAATTTAGTACTTTAACTTGATCTTGAATGACTTTTTGGACTAAGGAGTCCTGAATCTTTGATCTCATTTCAGCATTAACAATAACTTGTTCGCGGGTTCCCTCTAGTTGTTTGATTTCTCTAAGGAGTTGCTTCTCTTCAGTCAATGGGATGCTTTCATGCTGAATGCGATATTGCAAGCCATGGATCTGCGATTCACAATTCCCATGAAGTGAATAAAAGAAAGAAGAAAAGGAGTAACCGCAGCAAAAAGATAAGCCATAAATCTAAATGCAGTAAAAGCTTATAGTAAAGTCATACAATAAAATCAAGCTCTTCCTCAGATGAACATGTACCAACACGGCCGTCAACATCTCTATTATTGCGAAGCTTGCCTAAAGCCTGCTGCAGTGGTGCTATTTCCTTCTTTTTCTCATCAGAATCGTCTTAAATTGCTCAAAATCAACATTCGGGGCTCTCACTTGAGAAAGCAACTCTGATCGTTCGGACTGCAATAGCATAAAGATAATGCATTAAAAAGTTATTGAGAATTGAGATTAAGTCTAACTGGGAGCATAGTTATTTTAAACTTATTTCGCAATTTTCTTAACATTCGAAAACATGCACCAATAAGGAATCGTTATACCAAAATAGTATTCTACAAGACTACTAAACAACAATAGCATATGTGTAAGTGTTACGTGTTCAAGGACTTAAATTTCAAACATTCAAATACATGCATCCAGGTTTATACATTCATCATATTATTATAAGAACATCAAATTGCTAGTCTTTAAAAGAGCGGAATTCAAGGGAAAAGGAAGGAGTTAATGACTAAGATTTTTGCTTTAATTGTTAGTCTTTAAAAGAGCGGAATTCAAGGGAAAAAATCAAGGAGATTTTATTATTTTACGTTCACATCTTGATATTATGGGGGGTTCGAATCCAAAACTTTTAAAAAATGGTAATTTTTTTATCATCGAAATCACTTTAAAAGAGCGGAATTCAAGGGGAAATTCAACGGTGTGGAATGTAAAATAACCCTGTCCAGGGCTGTAATTTATGAATTATAGCCAGTGCTCAATGCAGCTCGAATGAAACGTGTGTTTTACACACCGCAAAACGCCTACAAGATTCACCAACCACATAGTCATCCAAGCATATGGAGCGGTTACCTGATTTTAACTGATGCTCATCGTCCCTAATCGAAGGCAATACTTTCTCCAACACCTGCACATCCAACACGAATCCGTTGTCCACGACCGAGGACGACCCGTTGATCATCGTTCCCGGCATCTGGACGTGGTTACATATCCTCGCTTCGTAAGCAACCATCTGCTTGTAAATGGCGAAGGTGATGAAGGATGAAATAATGATGCTGGCCGCGACCAAGCAGAACAACAAGAGAGCGGCAATGCCGAGGGCTGTAAGAGAAGACATGATCAGAGGGTAATGGGAAGAATATTGAATGACTAAACTTAGTTTAATCATGTTCTTCGATGTCTGATATTGTTTGGCACTTAGCTTAGGGGACAAGTTGATCCTTAAACATGAATTTTGTGAATTTAATTACATTAATAAAGGAAAATTTCTGAAAGCAATTGCTAAAATTGTTAAAGATATGGTATTTTCGGTGGTATTTTGTGAATTTATTTATTTGAATTAAAAATAAGATTAAATTAATAAATTATATAAATATTAATGACCAATTATTTAATTATACTAATTTTTCGGAGTGAAGTCACCTCCACCATTAAATATTAACAATTAGTGACTTGATTACAATACTTAAATAATTAAATAATCTGATTGAAAAAAATTAAAAATTTGATAATCAAAATAAAAATATAATAATTAACTGGTCATGGGTATGGTTTACCCTAAAATCTTTCGATACGGATCCTATATTGGTATTTTATCTTATTTGACACGTGTGTTATATGTAATACAGTTATAAAAGCCATCGTGGCAATATCCTGTACTTCTGTCCACAGATAATCGCATTCCAGAAAATCAACCATCGTCCTCCACGTGTCCCTTTTCGTCATCTAATTTATTTCCGTTCTTAGCTATAGTCCAAATCCAACCCACCTCTCCAAAACAGTACAAACAAATCCCTCACTCTCTTCAAAATCTCCTCTTTTGTTTTCGCCCATGGCTTCCGCCACCGTTACTTTCTCCCCGATCACCGCCGCCGTTTCAGCCCCTTCCTCTGTCGTTTCTCATCGGAGAATATCCGTTGGGTTACCGGAGTTTCGTGGCCTCAAGAGTAAATCTAGGTCTGCGTCGTTGGTTCCGTTTTCCCGATCAGTGAGCCGGGTCTCGCGTCTGCAGGGTCGTGTTGTTTGTGAAGCCCAGGAGACCGCCGTTTATGGTCAGTTCCGTTGGTTTGTTTCACCTGGTTAAATTAATTTGTCTTTTCTTCAATTATTGTTTTTATCAGTTTTTTAGCTTGATTGGTTGTTTGGAAAGTGGAAGAAAATAGAAGGAATTTTTCGGTGGAAATGAAAAAGAGAGAGAGAGAATAACCACATTCTTATGGAAATCGAACTTTTCTTGGGTGAAATCATCGTTTTAGAGTTTAGTTGGTTTATAGAGCTGCAAACTGGCTAATTTTAGCTTTTTAAACTCCGGATGTTTACAAACTAAGTTTTCTTACTAGAATTAGCTGATTCTTTTTGTTGAAGAACGTACTTTTGTTTTAGGGTTTAGAAAAAGGAATTAATTGTCTTACATCCCAATAAATCCTTAATTCTCTTTCCCGAGATTTGAGCCCGAAACTTATAGGTTGAAACTTGGAAGCAAAATTGCAAACTTTATTATCACAACTTGCTATCTTCCTGATTTTCACAACTTTGTTAGCATATAGTTTATTGTTTTCCAAAGTTTACTGATTTAGAATTATGGATCTCTATAATAACAAAAGCTAAACTAAGTTAAAAAGACGTTTTACGAATTACAAATGAAATGAAAATGAGAAAACTATCCCTATGAATTACATTTCATATAAATACCATTTTGTGTTTTTAATTTTCATTCCTCGTACCGGATTGATCCATGTGACTGGTATAGCAAAGCCATTAGAGGCCCTTCCAACCATGTTTTAATGGTCTTGTAGTAATGACTGGCCTACATTATTGTTAACACTGTCCATGGTTTATTTTTCGAAACAAAAATGAGGGATTTTGAAATTTATTTTCTTTCCTTGTTCAGAAATGAAAGAGGATAAAAGAACAGCCGAGAGTTCATGTTATTATTCTCTGTTCAAGTTCAAAGTCAATGGTTGTAGATCTTTGCTGATTTGACCTTGCTATTGCGTTTAGAACTTATACTTCATGAAATATATATATGATATATTGATTGTTCTTCGAAATTTGCAGTGGCACCATTGAAGGAAGATGCATGGCAATCACTTGTTCTTGATTGTGAATTGCCTGTTCTGGTTGAATTTTGGGCTCCATGGTGTGGACCTTGCCGTATGATTCACCCGGTAGTCGATGAACTGTCAAAGGACTACGCCGGGAAGCTCAAATGCTACAAAGTTAACACAGATGAGTGTCCTAACATTGCAACTCAATATGGGATTCGGAGCATTCCAACTGTTATGATCTTCAAGAATGGGGAGAAGAAAGATGCAGTGATTGGTGCTGTTCCCAAATCCACCTTGATAACCTGCGTTGAGAGATTCTTGTAGATGTGGTAAGAAAATGTCACTTTTCTGGAAGTTAAGCTATTTCTAGCAGTTCCTTCTTTTGTTAACTTCCACTAGCTCTTGATGTTTCACATTTGGATCTTACAATTTTCAGTCGATAAATGATATATATTTTATTTTAAAAATTGTCAAAAATATTCTAAGGATTAATCCAGTTCGGCAATGGACACATATTGAGATTTGAGAATCCTGAAACTCTCCGTCCCCAATTTAGTAATTTTCATCGTTTAGTGTTAAATATAAGGGTAAAGTACTCAAATAGTTCCCCGACTATAGAGTACTATTTTATTAAGTCTTTCGACTATTAAAAATTACAAAACAATCCTTCAACTATAAAGTGTTGTTCTATTGAGTCTCTCGACTATTAAAAGTTAAAAAAGGGTCACTCAACTATTCATTATGTTCCAAGTTAATTCATTTTTGTTAAAAATTTGACGGTATTTTGAGTTGAACGTTAACCTACTAACTGTGATATGATAAAATTTGATCGAAGAATCTCAAATGACTATTATATCTCAATAATCATTTTAACGTGTAACTTAGACAACTGTCAATTTTTCAACGGGAAAATGACGAGATTGAAACATATTGAATAATCAAGTGATCATTTTGTAATTTTTAATAATCGAGAAATTTAATAAAATAATATTCTATAGTTGAAGGATTTAATACAATAGTACTATATAATCAGAGGATCATTTGTTTACTTTACCCTTAGACATAAATATGTGTTTGAAAAAAGATATATTGGAGTTTTTTCATGCACTTATGTCAAGCATTGGGATAGGTTGTGTCATAGTCAAAACTCCAACTCTATACTGTCAAATATGTTTAACTACTTGCTCTTTCAAGTTATTGGTAGGGGTGTATTCGGTTCGGTTCGGTTCGGTTTTTTATCAAAAATTGAACCGAACCGAAATAAACGGTTTTTCAATATTTAAATCGAAACCGAATAGTTAAAAAATCGAAAAAACCGAAATCGGTTTTTTCGGTTCGGTTCGGATTTTTTAATGGTTCGGGTTTTTCGGTTTTTCAATAAAAAAATCACTTGAAACTATAATTGTTTTTACAAAAATTGTCTATTCGGTTCAATATGGAACAAATGGGTTCCATATGGAAAACCCGAACCGAACCGAATCAAAAAAATGAAACCTTTAAACCGAACCGAAAATCGAACCGTTTAAAGCCAAACCGAACCGAACCGTTTTACTCAGTTCGTGTCGATTTTTCGGTTTTCTCGGTTTCGTTGCTCACCCCTAGTTATTGGTTTCTTTTTTGGTAAACGTTACCTTAATTTCAAGAGCCGACATTTCATTTGATCCAATGTTAAAGGAAATGACACCTCTCAAAGTTAAAATCATATAGGCATAATTTAAAAAAAAATTAGTTGTTTCGTAATCAACGTATGAAGATAACTCTATACATAGATGTAAATAAACATTATTGACGTAATATATTCATATCATTACATCGTTTCATCAAAAAATATCACTTCAAAGAAAACAAAATTGATACAATAGAGTCTAGGTCAAGGGGTTCACCCAGTCTAAGGACACGACATATTTAAGACCCAATTAAGATTTATAAATTACCCCATAAAAAATGATAATAATAAGATTCGAACTTTAATTTTACAAAATCAAATTCTTAAATTTTAACCACTTATATCTACATTCGTTAATATATCATTCATCAAAGTAAAAAAATATTATCAATTTAATAATAATGAGATTCAAACTTAAAACTAAATGAAAGAATGGTTTAACACTTAACCATTACATCAATCACTGAATTTATATATAAAAATATCTTAACAAGGTGGCATAATCTTTGACATGATCGAAAATAAATGTAAATAATCGGCAAATACGAAAGAATTAAGTCCATAAATGATCACAACTATGAAATATTGCTTTATTAAGTTCATCGACTCTTAAAAGTTATAAAATGGTCTTTCGATTATAGAATATTATTTTATTAAGTCTCTAGGCTATTATAAGTTACAAAATGATTACCTGACTATTTATTATATAAAACTCATACTTTTTTGTTAAAAATGACAATTGTATAAGTTGGACGTTAACATGATGACCGAGATACGATAGTCGTTTGAGATTCTTGGATCAGATTTTATCATATCACAATCAACAGGTTAACGTTTAGCTTAAAATATCGTCGATTTTATAACAAAAATGGACAAGTTTGTCACATAATGAATAATCGAGTGATTATTTTGTAACTTTAATAGTCGAGGGATTCAACAGAACAACACCATATAATTATATGACCATTTTATAATTTTTAATAATTGAGAGACTTAATAAAGCAATGCATTTTAATCGGGGACCATTTGTGTACTTTATCCATAGTTTAACTTTATGGGCTCTAAAATAATATGAATATAGTTTAGCCCAACCCAGTCTTCTTGCTCGAAATTTTCCTTGCAACCAAACACAGCTTACCGACCTACACTACGAAAGTATTTAAAGTCCCGGCTTTCTTCCTCCTCTCTCAAAACCTCAAAGAATACGCGAGGACATGGGCAAAGATCGAAACATTTCCCTCTCAGAAAACTCCGAAGAAGAAACGGGAACAGTATCTAGACCGAAATCCAAATCCGTGTCGGAGTCTGAAGATACAAACCCAGGGAGCCTTAACAAAAGAGAAAAAGGGAAAAGGCCAACCAAGTCACGAAGAAGACACTGCAGCAGCGGTAGCAGCGAAGAAGATTTGTATTCAGATTCAGAACCCTCGTCCTCGTCCGAGCATTCGGAATCGGAATCAGGGTACTCGGATTCGGCGGAGCAGGAGAGGAGGAGGAGAAAGAGGAAGAGAAGAGAGAGAGAAGAGAAGGAAAGGAAAAAGAGGAGGAAAGAGAAGGAAAAGAAAAGGAGAAGAAGAGGAAAGAGAAAGAGAGGAAAGCAAAGAAAAAGGAGGACAAGTTAGAGAAAGGAAAGAGAGGTGCACTTACTAATTCCTGGGGAAAATATGGGATTATCAGAGAAACTGATATGTGGTAAATTTCATTTATTTTTCACCTTTTTTTTGGAGAAATTGTTGTAAATGAGACAACTTTTCTTATGTGAAAGCTGAAATCAAAATTGTAGCTTAGTTTTGAGTTGGAAGTACTTTTCTTGTATAATGTCTATCTCAGTTGCCATGGCTGTTGCTATAAGAAATTAGAAAAAGTGCTGATTCAATGGTTTTATTATGGTTGAGATTGAAAATTATCTCCATGAATGTGGAATTTGGAGCCTTTTTTCTCCATTATAATGATTACTGTTCCTCTAATGTGTAGGAATAAGCGACCTGAATTCACAGCATGGTTAGCTGAAGTGAAACAGGTATCTTTTTTTCCCAGCTTTTTTGGTGTTTCTCACTATCATTTTGATGTTACAATTTTTGTTTTCCATGGTGATGAGAAAACCGGTTTTCAATGTAATGAATTATTGTTTTTTTGCATTGTTTATTGACAGTAAATGTATGATTTCTCTTCACAGATAAACTTGGAAAGTTTGCCCAACTGGGAAGAGAAGCAGTTGTTTAAAGAGTATTTGAATTGTTTTCCGATTCTCTTCTCGCGATCTCTATGATTATGCATGCAAATGTAATTGTTTATTGTTTAAATTAGATTTGCACGTCTAAGAATTTGTGTTTATTTTTGCAGTTTCATGGAAGATCACAACACAGCCACCTTCCCTTCCAAAAAGTAAGGCTTTGTAACATATGGAATTATAACTTATGTTTCAACAAGGATGTGCGTGATAAGATTCTTAATCAGAAAAAAGGCGACTTGGATCAGTTTCACGCATTTCCCGTGTTTATTTGAAATGAAATCTATGTTGCTTCGACTCTATTTCTCTTGAAGTACTGGTGTTGACCTCATATCTGAAGTTCTGAACATAAATTCTGGGACATGAACTTCCTATAATAATCCTCCAAATATATGAAAATTTTGGAAGAAGTTGAACGTATCAGTGATGGGCACATGTCCATGTCTGACACTCCAAGTAACATACCTTGAAAGAATGTATTCTACTGTCTACTTAGGTAAATAAATAATGATAGTCCTAGAAAAATAGAAAAGAGCTAAAGTATACCATCTATTTTTTTTTAGGAAATTGGTGCTTTCTTATCCGACATGTTTTTGGTCGTTTTCCTGTTAATGATGTCAGTAGACCTTTATCCCCACCAAACTTTACGTCCTGTTAAGCTTTTCTTTATTGGAGATTTGTTGCATTCCAAGATGTAAAATAACAATAATTTGGCATGTATGTTGGATTACCATGGAGGCATGGACATGATAGCTTATTTATTGGCAATTTCAGATATTATAACCTTGATGCTTATTATAAGCGTCAAATGGAGAAAGAGAGCAAGAAGGGTGTTAAAAAGGTTCTCCAAGCAGAGCGCACAGTATTCAATGATGAAGAACAACGTCGGTATGTTTCTATGTACTCTGCATCATTTATGCCATACTTTTTGGCATCTTTCTTGAATACAACTTTCTTTGAATTAGACTTATATTTGACCATTCATGCATTCTTTTTCTTCTAAGCTCTATTCTAGATCAAGTTCACAATTGATTGGTATATTTGCGTAAAAACTGTCATTTGCAGTATCCATTAGCACTGTTATTACTCATTATTAGATTCACTTCTAATGGAGGGAGTTTCTTTGATGCAATTTCGTTACTATAAGGTTCTTGTCAACTTACTGATTTTGCATTTTGTAATAGTTTATGGCTTGTTTCTTTACACATCCCTTGATCGTCCAAAGCAAGGATGACGTCGCACTCTACATCGTCATATAACGTATCTGAGATGTTCAAATTATGACGATGATGTCATTGACTCCAAACAATAGTTGTTTGTAAATCTCAACTGTAAAATGCTATACAAAACTGTGTAGTGTCTGGTTTAGTGCTCTTACATTACCATGAAATATATTTTGCTACTTTGGAGGACAAAGTAATAGTGAATGCCTGCTCTCTTTAGTTCTGTTATATGGGAATTTGAATGGTAAATTTGAACTTTTTAGCAATGATAAGCTTGTTACTATTACATGCATTATATATTCTTGTTGGCTCATAATCTCAATTCCGCATGTTCAGGCAAGAACTGCTTATGGCTCGTGAAAAGCAGAAGGAAGAAGAGGTCGGAGCTTTGAAACGTGCCATGCAGAGTGGAATGGTTAGCTCTTTCTTATGCTTCCTAACTTAGTGACCATTTTGCTTCCTAACTTAGTGACCATTTTGCTGCCTATCTGTTGAACCCCGGGCATGTTACGTTTTCTGACCTCCATCCATATGAATTTGCAGGCACAAGCAATGAAAGAACAAGCTCAGCTACGGGAAGAAATGGCTTACCTGTACAAAATCGGCAACTTCGAGGTGGGGATACACTGTCGGTTTTATCTTTGCCAGTGCAATCTTGAATTATTCCATCGTATCAGGAGGAATCTACCGTCGTCTTTCTATTTGTACCAGGTTGAATATAATTTTACGAGGATTACTGTTTTTTTAACTAGTTTGCGGTTTTCCTCGCAACTATTTGTGTAGGAATAGAATGTTTTGGTGATCCATGTTTAGTATACATTTTAGGATACTAGAGATAATCTTGTTGGGGTATTGAGAGAATGTTTCGGGACACATTTTGATATATATATATATATATATATATATCGGGTTTTGAGATATATAAGATATCGTGTTTTTGTATTCTCTGATCTTTATGTTTATAATGAATTACATTATAATCAACAAGAAGCAATTCTGATAAAACAGTACATTCTATAAATTTAGAGTTCAAATATAAGTATGTTTAACTTTCAAAAACAATTAAATAACTTACTAAATTACATTAAACACATGTTACATCTCCAATAATCACTATATCAAAGATATGTTGGTAAAAAAATATGAAGTTGTTAAATATTATGAAGATGGAGTTTGATGATAAAATCACCCTTTAACCAATCGATGGAACTCATAGCCTTAGTTAGGGCCAAGTTGCATCATTCCATGATCCTGAAGTGAAAATAACAAATTGTTTCCAGCTAATTAAGTGTTTAAACTAATTGTTCTTCTTGATTCAGCACATGAAAGGGTGGTTTTCTTTTCGTTTCGTTTATGTTTTGCTTGGTGAGTAATGAACGATTGGTGTTGCAGCAAATTAAGGCACATAAACGGCTACTCATGCAAGGCCCATGATCCCATATTAGAAGAACAAATCAAACAAGCAAACACAATGGGGGCATTTTCTGAGTTGCACTTCCTCGAATCTTCTCTCTTTCACTGCCATTTTCAACACTATATAAAGCAATGATGTGATGCCCTTTGAATCACATTGAAGAAAGAGTAGAAAACCAACAAAATGGCATCCTCATCCTTGGTACTAAAGTTTACGTGCATGGTTCTCTCAGTTTGTTTATCCTTGGGGTTGAGTTCGGCTAATAGGTTCCTGTTGGACCAAGCCGACCGTGTCTACAAAAACATGGACCCTGTTGTCCATGAACCGATGAAGAACCCTAATGATGAAAAACTTGGTGTTGGTTATGGCGTTGGAATTGGCAATGGAAATGGTATAGGGTATGGCATTGGACAATCAGGGGGACAATCAGGAGAAGGTATCGGGTACGGCGTTGGACAATCATGGGGACAATCAGGAGAAGGTACCGGATATGGCATTGGACAATCAGGGGGACAGTCAGGAAATAGTATGGGGTATGGCATTGGACAATCAGGGGGACAGTCAGGAGAAAGTATCGGATACGGCATTGGACAATCAGGGGGACAGTCAGGAGAAAGTTTTGGGTACGGCATTGGGCAATCAGGAGGACAGTTAGGAACTAGCATTGGGTACGGCATTGGACAATCAGGAGGTCAATCAGGAAACAATGTCGGATATGGTGTTGGAATTGGGTCAGGTGGGAACAACGGGTGCGGTGGACCTGAGGGTGGAGTTGGGACCGGAATTGGATCAGGACAAAGTGGAGTTGGTGTAGGATATGGTTCAGGTGGTGTAACTCCTGGATGTAAGGTAGGCAATTGTGGTGGAAACTGTGTACAGTCCACAGCTGAAGCTGCCAAAGAGATGCCAAAGACTATTAAAACAACTACTTAGCCCTAGCTGTCATATAGTGTTCTCTAATTTACAAAAAGTAATGATGCTTATGTGGTTTACAATCAAACCTTGTTGAATTATATCAATAAGATAATAATAATCACGATTCTCTTTAAGAACTTTTTAATTGTATCTTAAAATTATGTAAAATTTTATTTTGATTTCTGTCGTAATTTTGGACATAATAAAAACACAGATATATGAACATATCAAGATCTGTATAATAAGATATACGGTAAATTACACCGTGTAATCACTGAGCTATACTCTCTCTTCTGTTTTCCTCACCCAACTTTCAATTTTTATATTTTGTTCATTGAACTTTACAGATTGAATCATTTTGCTCACTGTCTCGTTAACTATTTTACGGTGTTATGACATGACACAATCATTAAAACGACATCGTTTCGAATCCTATATTGAAAGTTTGGTGAGTAAAATAGGAGAGAGGGTAAAGTTCAGTGAGGAATGGTGTAATTTGCCCTTTTTTCTTTTCTTCTTCATTTTCTCTCCGCCGGCCACCACGTTATTTTTCATTCCGACCATCGTCCACTGTCGTTGATGGTGGCCGTTCGGTCCCAAATTTCATGGGTCAGTTCATCTCGACCCTTTGAGTCTGAATCTGGTGTTTGTTTCACCGGAAAATGTCCCAAAAGTCATGAATCTCGAATGAAACGTTTCGGCTCCCTCACTTTTAATCTCAAATTCATGGACTTAGAAGCAAATTCCGAAAAAATGGAGGTTGGATTTGAAATCACGATGTCAAGGCAAAGTGACCCATGAAATTTGAGACCGAACAACCACCATCTACGACGGTCGATGGTGGCCGACAGTGGCATTCAACCACCTTCTGTTTTTTTCTCTCAATTATTTTACACTTAAAAATAATAATAATAAATGACACATCATCAAAACATTAGAGAGTTAATGGGAGAGTGAGCAAAATGACTCAATTTGTAAAGTTCAGTGAGCAAAATAGAAAAATTGAAAATTGGGTGAGGAAAATAGAATGGAGTATATAGTTCAGTGAAGAGCGGTGTAATTTACCATAATATATATGATGTTATAAACATAGTTATAACTCGAATACATTGGATGTAAGGTCTCATCGAACTTTCAATATCTAAGGATACTGAAAGTTCCAACTAATATTTTAAAAAGTTGGGACAAAAAACTCGATACACAAAAGAGTATTCAATTAAAGATTGTATCCCTCAATATATGTCAACGGAATTAAGATAAGTATCCTTAAGGTCCTGGATTCGAGAACCATAGGTGTCCCCTTTCATATTAAACATACAATTGAATTGATTCAAATCTCATCATGCTTATTTTTCAAAAACAATTAAAAAAAACACCAAATTAATTAATTTGTTAAATATTATGACGATGAAGTCCAATAAAATCACCCTCATAGTCGTACCAATAGATGAAGCTCAAAGCCTTAGTTAAGGTCAAGTCTTATCATTCCATGACCCTGAAGTGAAAATAAAAAATTATTTCCAGTAATTCAAGAGTTTAACTAATTATCCTTCTTAATGCATTAAATCAAGGAGCTGATGAAGCACATGAAAGGGTGGTTGAGAAGGCATGAGTCACATGAAAGCCTGGTTTTCTTTTCTTTTTTGTTTCGTTTATGTGTTTTTTTTTGGGTAAACTACATGTTCGGTATCTAACTATCGGTTCTGGTTCTTTTTAGTACCTCAACTTTTAATTTTTTAAAACCATACGTGACGTTTAGTTTTTGTTTCATTTTAACACCCATTAAAAACCTAACGTTAAGTTTTTTAAAAAATTGAAAATTTAGGTACTAAAACGGACCGAAACTGATAGTTTAGATACTAAACGCGTTAAGTTTTTTTATGGCGGGAACTAAAATGAATCAAAAATTAAACGTCATGTATGGTTTTGAAAAAATTAAAAGTTGAGGTACTAAAAAGGATCAAAACTGATAGTTTAGGTACTAAACCCGTAATTTACCATTTTTTTGAATAATGAACGATTGGCGCTGCATCAAATTAAGGCACATAAACGGCTACTCATGTAAGGTCCATGATCCTGTATTAGAAGAACAAGACAAGCAAGCAAACGCAATGCACTTCCCTCGAATCTTCTCTCTTTTGCGGCCATTTTCAACACTATATAAAGCAAAGACGTGATACCCTTTGAATCACATTGAAGAAGAGTAGAAAACCAACAAAATGGCATCCTCATCCTTTGCACTAAAGTTTACGTGCATGGTTCTCTCAGTTTGTTTATCCTTGGGGTTGAGTTCGGGTAATAGGTTCCTATTGGACCAAGCCGACCGTGTCTACAAAAACATGGACCCTGTTGTCCGTGAACCGATGAAGAACCCTAATGATGAAAAACTTGGTGTTGATAGTGCCTCGGGAAACACTATGGGAACGGGCATTGGATATGCCATTGGAAATGGCGGGAATAAGATACAAACAGGTATTGGTTATGGCGTTGGACAAGTGAGGGGTCAATCAGGAAATAATATGGGATATGGCGTTGGAAATGGATATGGTGTCGGGTACGGCGTTGGACAATCTGGGGGTCAATTAGGAAACAGCGTTGGATATGGTATCGGTATTGGTAATGAAAATGGAAATGGTATCGGATATGGTGTTGGACAATCAGGAGGTCAGTCAGGAAATAGTATGGGATATGGTGCTGGACAATCGTGGGGTAAATCGGGAAATAGTGTCGGATATGGTGTTGGACAATCGGGGGGTCAATCAGGAAACAACGTTGGATATGGTATTGGAATTGGCAATGGAGATGGAGAAGGTGTTGGGTATGGTGTTGGACAATCGGGAGGTCAATCAGGAAACAACGTTGGATATGGTATTGGAATTGGCAACGGAAATGGAGAAGGTGTTGGGTATGGTATTGGACAATCGGGAGGTCAATCAGGAAATAGTATTGGGTATGGTGTTGGACAATCGGGAGGTCCGTCAGGAAACAACGTTGGATATGGTATTGGAATTGGCAATGGAGATGGAGAAGGTGTTGGGTACGGCGTTGGACAATCAGGAGGTCAGTCAGGAAGCAATATTGGATATGGCATTGGAGTTGGGAATGAAAATGAAAAGGGTATCGGATACGGCGTTGGACAATCGGGAGGTCAATCAGGAACCAACGTTGGATATGGAGTTGGACAGTCAGGAGGTCAGTCTGGAAACAACGTTGGATATGGTATCGGAATCGGATCAGGAAATGGTGGAGTTGGATCAGGAATTGGCGTGGGGTACGGTTCAGGAAGTGCAACTCCTGGATGTAACATAGGCAATTGCAATGGAAACTTTGTACAATCCGCCATTGAAGCTGCCGAAGAGATGTCAAAGACTATTGGCACAGTTACTCAGCCCTAACGACCATATAATGTTATCTAATATACAAAAGTAATGATGTTTATAGGTTTACAATCAAGCCTTGTCGAATCAACATCAATAAGATAATAAACACAAAAGACTCTTTCTGGTTACTTTCTTTTACGATATCTTGAAGTTACTTAAAAATTATATGCATTGCTTTTTTTTTCTTGTAACAGGCATAGAGGATGATCTTCGAAAATCTTCGTGCTGAAGCCTAGATATAGTCGGTGCAGAAATAGTAGTAGATGTTCTAAGTATAGGCATGCCAACCCTACTCAAAGTTTCAACCGGGGCCGGACCAGATGGAACATCAGGCCGTAGTTGGTAGTTGCAACTCTATCTCGGTGTTTGTACCATCACCGGCTTCATGAACATCAATCAACTGGTGGTCGTCTTCCTCGACCGACATAACCATGCTTGTGTCGGTATGTATAGTCGAATCATCAATGAAACGTCCATGTCTCCTCTTTCTCCTTGCCGCGTTACCCCATCCGTGGATCGTCTCTCTTATCCTTTCTGGAATCAGGGCTGCCTTATAGTTTGTTCCCATCTGAAAAGGAAAACCGTTTGTAAATGAGATCAAAGGCACACAAATAAGATTGTATGACACCTTTGAGGTAAGCACATGTTGAACATGACATGTTTCGGGTTAAGGTTTGGAAAATGTAACTCGAAGAATCGGCAGACGTTGATAGTCATTACGAAGTACAGCAACTGAAAGGAATGTTACCTGAGTGACAAGAGCATAGAGAGGCAGGGTGGTGCAGCTACAGATGAATTGCCCGATAAATCTATGAAACGAGGACGATAACTTAACGACCTATGATCGATGAAACTCGACCTATGATCGATGAAACTCGAACTATGAGCGATAACAAATCCGTACCCCACTGCAAAGATATCAACACAGTAACTAACGTGCCATGAGAGTGAAATTACAATGAGCACTCAATTGGTGTCACAAAATATAGCCCAGGAGAAGAGGAAGTACCCAGAACCAAAAGAACGAAGCCAGCTCGAATGCGTTCTGCAGAGAAATGAGACAAGAACATTAGTTCCATGAAATGGAAGTCGTACATAAGTTCTCTCTCTCTTACGACAGGCAATAGGAATATGAAATGTACAAAAAATCTTCGACTTGGACCGAATTGCAGTAAACCACAACCTGAAATAGAATGAAATGGATAAGTGAAAGCAACCATTCTGGTTTCTTAAACCAGAAAAGTTCGTCTCGAAGCCTTAGCTTTGTCCCGTTAAAATAGCCGGTTATGCCGGTATTCTCGATTGCCAAGGTAGCGATGACATGCTGTAGCTTCGCACCCACTAGCAGAACAAGCTGCATATGAAGTTATGAACATATAAATCAGAATGACAAGAAAGATTAGAAGGCCATCCTGGAAATATATAGAAGGAATGACGAAAGGCTTACCGTGATGGGAATGATTGCTATCCAGAAATACAGATTAGATCCTGTTAGAAGAAAAAAGAAGCCGGTGAGTCGTCAATCTACTGAATTGGAAGAACTGCCTATAATATGTACCCCACTATTCGAAAAGTTCAGATTGTGCTTTAAACAACCAGCAAAATGCTTCACTGGACAGGTAACGATCTTGGAATCATTGTTAAGATAAAAGTATGGCCAAGAGCACGACAGGCATAATAATTTGATCTCGATATACATTGCAGGGTACCTTTAATGTTGAACAGCATGAATGCGACAACGAATCCCCAAAGCGGACCACTGCATGATATCAAACAAACAGAACTTTAGCAATCTGCAATCCTAAGATCTTAAGGCAGAGCATAAACCCGAACAATCAGTTAATAGACATGACTAAGCTAGTAAATTTAAGTTAATAATCACCTTCGATAAACGAGATCGTTCATGATGCAATCGCACGAAATGTATATATATCATAGATATTATATATGGCCTCCAGGGCCGGTCCAATGAGTTTTAATGCCCTGGGCGAGAAAATAATTTTATGCCCATATACTTGTAATGTATAATAGACAAAATATATATTTTTTTAAAATAAAAATGTAATAAAAATTAACGTCAAACAATATCAATGCTAATACAAACCAAAACCTACAATGCTACAAATATCACCTAAAATGATGCCTTCGTGCATTTTTTGAAGCAAAAACCTCAATTATTTTACGATAATCAAGACTTTGTAAAAATTTTCTTTCGATGCTTAGAATTGCTAATCCGTTCAATCTATCTTGAGTCATCGTTCTTCGAAGATCGGATTATTAGAAGGTTTAACCGGTCTAATAATAAATCTATCTAAAGACCCATGTAAAGAATTAGCTATTTCTTGTTCTTGTTTTTTTCGTTTTCTATTTTGGGCACCCGATGGTTGTTTTCGAGGTAACATATTTAAAAATAATCAATAAAATAAATATAGTAGCAAGTAAACAATAAAACATGTATATTAGCAAGGAAAGATACAACCTGACCGGTGACCGAAGTTTATGTTGTTGACTTGTTATTTCTCACAATCAATTGATCTAAAAAATTAATAATGAAATCAAAATAATCAGAATGAACCACTCTAAAAAATGTATTGAACGAAAATAAAAGAAGATAAATTAAACAGTAAAGCTATCTACTGCTAGGCTGCTAGCAAAACATAAAATGCAATCTCATGATCCAAGATCCAGAAAGCACTTGCAAACATTAGCCAACACTTGCAAACATTCATCCCCACAAGCCTCACGCTTGTCTGAATTATTTATGAACCCGTCGCTTTTATATTTGCTTTTAATCTTTGGGTCCGGTTGGTTGAAAAATAATTGGGTTCCATAACTATAATTTGCTGCATGTTAAAATTCTGCACTCACTAGTCAAGCCTCGTTTCAAAAAATAAAATCAAATGGCATACGGACTACTGCATTTCGTTTTCCAAAAACAGGAACCGGTTTAAGCCCCACCCGATCGAACCAAATGGCTAACTTAAAACCATTAGACAAGAACAAACTAATACCATTTCCAAAATCTTCAAAGTGAACATGATTCTTTAGACAAACAGGCCCCAAAGTAAAAAACATTGAGGCACATTCCAGATTCCTTGAACATTTAAAAATAGACAAAGGAGGGAATTTCGATTCAATGCTAAGACGGTGAGACCAAACAGGAAATTCATATTGAACATTTAAAAATAACCCCTGATTTAAACAAAATTCAGATAAGAAAAATCTCGGTCATACAATAAGGTATCTAATCGATTCAACAAAAACCCATAATATCTTTAAAATCCATAAATAATGGGAATTATATAATAGACAAAGGAGGGAATTTCGAAGAGGAATGGATAGATCAACCAGGTAGATCCAAGAAATTTGTCTCACTACATAAATTATAGAAAGCTGACCTGCAAGAACCGGAAAAGCAGAAATGCATCCAAACACGAAGTAAATCAGAGAATAGTGTGAAGGATCTCGAACAACCGGAAACCGAAAACAACTCAATTTTGGATTCAGTTTTACAAGCAAAATGGGCGTCGTCGTGTCTGGTAGAAGCAAAAGAGGTAATAACTGGAAGGCAAAATATTAGAATGATGCCCCCCTTAAATATGATGCCCTGTGCCCAGGCCCACGTGGCACATGTCCTGGGCCGGCCCTGATGGCCTCATAAACACGTCAATAGCAAAGACAAGATAACAGTATACTAATGATCTGAAAATACTATGAAAGGTTTATATGAAGATATTCACTTGCCTAACACCAACTATCCTTTGAAATTCCTCCTCCATAGAACGAATCATATAGCTGTGAAAATCGTACTTCGACGTCAGGTTGTGATTCTGCCATCATTAGGGAAAACAGAAAGGCATAAACTAAACATGTAGTCCACCAGAAAACATCTCTGGTTCATTGCAACCGATACAAGAACATTATAGTAGTAACTGATTGCACATACGAATACTTCAACGAATAAGACTCCAAAGAAAATGTACCGTGATAAAGCCCTTGCGGAGAGTCAGATAGTCAGCACGACCCACCGAACACCCGAATTGCCGAAAGAAACATCTCTGCAAGTTGAAAATAAGAATACACCAGAAAAAAAAACTTAGAACTACCATATCCTGCTTAAAGCAACTTAACACAATTCAATCTTCATTTAGCTTGCAATGAGAATGAATTTGCACTAGGATAAATCCCTCTTGTCATCCCTTCCAGTTCATTATATGTCCTTTCCATGATGAGTTATAAATCCATTAGAGAAGTATGCCATAAGTTGTGCATAGCACAAAAGAACTCCGGGATTGTTATGAATTACACATATAATAATGTATTAAAACGAATTCGCAACGAATAGATGAATGAAGTCCCCTAGTGAACAAAGAGATAACAGATATCTTGTACCTACCACCCAGATAAGAAGACTATTTTTGGTCAACGGATTCGAAGTGTGGATCATGACGAAAGTCGTTTGTCTTCGTAATATCGACTCTCTTGCCTTCTCTGTATCAAGTGAATCCGGTAATCATATGTTAAAGCATGAGTTCTCTATCAGAAAACCATAATCAACTTAAAGGAACGTTGTTATCTGAAGATACAAAGAAGATAATGTTCGGACTTACCGTTTAGTGAATCATTTCGGTCCTTATGAGCTTCATCCTCCCATGCTCTCCAACTATGAATCTACCAAATAGTTACAATTTTACAATAAGCAAATAGCAGCATCTTAGAAGCATTACTTCATGCTTTCATCACAAATGAAAACATTTCTATGTTAGCATCTCTGGCAGTAAGTAAACACCATTTGTATTTCGCTTAGCATTATTGACCAGCTACTTCTATAATATCTAATTCAACCCTAGGAAGGAGTATCATGGCCCATATTTGCTTAATAGTCTGCAAAAATATGAAGGGAAAGGTTTTCTCTGATCCATTGCCTATAACAAAACCAGTATGCACCCTCGTTTTCACTTATTGCAGTTAATTGGATACTTGGAATAAGAGGTTTTGCATCGAAAATGCAAAGTATTCTAGCAAGAAAGAACAATGCCGAGTATCGGAAGTCGGAACAACCTACCAAGTTACTAAAAGACAGACAGAAGATCAACATTTGCAAAAATTTATGCAACCAGAAGACAGACCTTCACAATAGCAAGTAACATCGTTAAGCAACTGTACGATACATGTGTGATTGCCATGACAAAGATGAAGCGATGCAGCTGCTCGAGACCTTCATAGGAAACAAATGGCTCGTGACCCTGCAGAGAAGAGAGTTCATTTAAGATGAAAGATCATGAGCATAAGTATTTCTATATGGATTGGTGCAGTACCTGTGTGCAGGTATTTCGACTCACGCCATTCAACATTCTTCTAAACAAGTGAAAGACAATCAAAAGCTTGCGTTTGTCGGAAGACTCCTCTTCGAGTTCTTCATCGATCTCGGACCTGGTGCACGGTGCAAATGTACCGTCATAGAACCTTGATGGAATGCAAATATTTGCTATGGTTCTCGACGTTGCTGTTAGAAGGAGCGATATGAATCCAAGCAACATTAACTCTGAAGAAAACAAAGTAAATAACATTTTCATCAGTCTCATTAGGCAGCAATTACATGGTCGAAATATTCGGAATCGGAAATACCTTCTTTCATCTTCTCGACAGCCGCAAGCAGAGGCTTTCTATTAGTTTTCCTTAACCATTGAAACAGAACAGTAGGAAATTCATAAGATGTTATCATTGCATTTTGAAGAACCCACACGGAACATAGTTTCTTTGTCCAAATTTAAAGATTGCAGATATAAACAGACATAGCTATCGACATTGCTTAGGCGGTGAATGTTGAGTTAATCTAGTTGTCTCCAGGAATTGTCTTTGTATGTTTTTTGAATTTTAAGCATATTTTAGGTGGGTGAATTTTAGAGTCAGCAGTTACTAAAGTAGGGTAGCAGTTATTTAAGTGAAGTTGATATGGTTAGTATTTTTTTAGAAAACGTGGGCTGTTATGTTAGTGGTGCAGTTATATTTTGTATTTGCTTGAATAATAAAAAAACCAGAAAATGATGCAGTGTGTAGAGCATCACAAAATCCTTAGTGTTTGTTTTGTTTTTCAAGTTTGTTACTGCTTTGAGAAAACTAACATTTGGTAATCAGAGCCAGGTTGTCAAAGCAATGGACAATGAAGTAGGAGACCAATCAAAAACACTAGCAGTGGTCAAACCGATGGCAAGAGGAGCTTCATTCCCGATCCAATATCCAACGTTAAGCGAAACAAACTACGGTATATGGGCTGTCAAGATGAAGATAATCTTGTGTTCGCTAGGAGTATGGTCAGTGATCGAAGATGGAGACACAGACGACGACAAAGATCAAGGCGCCATGGTAGCCATTTCTCAAGCCGTGCCAGATGACGTGATGATGGCAATCGCTGAGAAGCAGACGGCAAAGGAGGCTTGGGACGCACTCAGGGAGATGCGGGTTGGTGAAGATCGCGTTAAGAAGGCACGCGTACAGGTGTTGAAACGGCAACTGAACAAGTTACACATGGAGGATTCAGAGACAATAAACGAATTTTCCATGAAGCTTACCATACTGGTGGGCGAGATTCGCTCGTTGGGCACGAAGCTCGATGACAGCGAAGTTATTGAAAAATTGTTCAGCGCAGTTCCAGATAAATTTCTCCAGATTATTGGAACAATTGAGCAGTTTGGCGATATTGAGATGATGTCAGTTTCAGAGGCGATCAGTCGTCTCAGAACTTTCAAGGAAGGGCTTAAAGGACGACTGCACTCAAAGAGCAGTGGAGAACAATTACTCCTTACCCAGGCCGAGTGGGAGGCAAGAATTCCAAAGGTAAAGAGAGATGAAGGTTCCTGCAACAACAAAAGAGGAAGACGTCAGGGGAGAGGACGTGGTCGTGGGCGTGGAAATGGTGGAGGTCGAGGAAATGGTGAACACAAAAATGAAGACCGAAAGCCACGCAATTTCGATAAATCCAAGGTTAAGTGTTTCAATTGTAATGAATATGGTCACTTTGCAAAAGAGTGTCCCAAGCCAAACCGAAGAGAGAAGGCCAATCTTGTTACAACACAAACCGATGATGAACCGACATTATTGATGATTGAAACTTGTGTTCTCAGCCACGCAATACAGAACGAACATGTGTTACTACACGAAGACAAGGTGGTGCCAAATATGAACAACACCCAAGACAAGGCTTGGTATTTAGATACCGGCGCAAGTAACCACATGACCGGTTGTATCATAAAATTTGCTGAAATTGACATGACCATTAAAGGGTCAATCAAATTTGGAGATGGCTCGGCTATAGAAATACAAGGAAGAGGTTCAATTTTATTTGAATGCTTCACAGGTGAACATCGTGTACTTACTAATGTCTACTATATCCCGAAGTTGAAGAGCAACATAATAAGCCTTGGTCAGTTATAAGAGAATGGTTGCAAGGTTGTAATTGAAGGAGGAGTAATGTCTATCTTCGACAGATCACAAAGGCTACTAGCAAAAGTGAACAGGTCAAGGAACTGGTTATATGTGTTTAACATAGTACCAGCCCTACCCGAATGCCTTCTTGCAAGGAGCAAAGAAGACGCTTGGCGCTGGCATGCAAGATACGGGCATGTGAACTTTCATGCCTTGAAGCTTCTAATTCAGAAACAAATGGTGCGTGGCTTGCCCATAATCGAGCATGAGGACCGCATCTGCGATGGTTGTTTGATAGGAAAGCAACACCGAAATCCTTTTCCAGCAGTGGTGAAATTTCGAGCAGAATCACCTCTTGAGCTGTGGCATGGAGATTTGTGTGGGCAATAACTCCTGCTACACACGGAGGCAAGAGTTATTTTCTGCTGTTAGTTGATGATTGTACTAGATTCATGTGGCAGGTGCTGATCCGAAACAAAGACGAAGCATTTGAGGCATTCAAGAAGATCAAAGCATCAACAAAAATGGAGAAAACAGTAAGTTAAAGGCTTTTCGCACAGATCGTGGTGGCGAATTTACCTCAAATGAATTCAAGACTTACTGTGAGTTGTTGGGAATTAAGCGTTATCTCACGACGCCTTATTCTCCTCAGCAGAACGGAATTATTGAACGAAGAAATCAGACTGTGGTCGGCATGGCAAGGAGCTTGTTGAAAAGCATGGGAGTCCCAGGCGAATTTTGGGGAGAGGCGGTATCAACTGCCGTATATCTCCTAAATCGAGCACCAACAAGAAGCATCGTCGGCAAAACTCCCTATGAAGCATACTATAACCGTAAGCCAACTGTTGATCATTTTCACATCTTTGGATGTGTGGGACACGTAAAAGATGTTACACCTCATCTTTCAAAACTTGCAGATCGAAGCAAGCCAATGGTGTTTATTGGTTATGATTTGAATACAAAAGGCTATCGGATGTTTGATCCAAAGTCAAAACGAGTATGGTGACACGGGATGTCGTGTTCGAAGAGGAGAAGAAGTGGGAGTAGAGCAAATTTCCAGAAACAAAATCAGCAGAGAACACTCTTACAACACACTATTTTACCATAGCAGGCACATCTGAAACGACAAATCAGAAAGATAAAGAGGGTGTCAGCGATTCTGGAATTGGCATTGGCATGGATTTCCCACAGCCGACACAGGAATAAACTGGTGACCGATACCAGTATGCTACACCAGTGATGAACACGAGATCTAGAACATTTGTTTCGAACTCGCCTTATACTCCAGCAGCAACGGTTGAAGAATCAGTATCAACCGAAACACTACAACCCTTAACATCTGATGAGAGTTCATCAGTAGGACCACGGGGTAAGCATGGCATCAAAAGCTTGTACGATGTAAAAGTCCCCATAGAGTTGCAGTATTCGAGTCTGTGCTTACTAGGAGAAGAGGAGCCATCGAATTTCGAAGAAGCCAAGGCAGATCCAATGTGGAGAAGAGCAATGGAGGAGGAAATTTCCTCTATTCGAAAAAATGAAACTTGGAAGCTCGTTCCATTACCCGACAGCCACAAACCTATAGGTCTAAAGTGGGTTTACAAGTTAAAGAATGACACTCAAGGCAGAATTGTGAAGCACAAGGCGAGATTAGTGGCAAAGGGGTACGTTCAACGACAAGGCATAGACTTTGATGAAGTTTTCGCCCCTGTTGCTCGGCTAGAGACAGTACGTTTGTTGATCTCTATTGCGGCACATGAAGGATGGGAGGTGCATCATATGGATGTGAAGTCAGCCTTCCTCAACGGTGATTTGAAAGAGGAAGTGTATGTCATTCAACCACCGGGATTTGAAATAAAAGGAGAATAGCACAAGGTGTTAAAAATGTACAAAGCATTGTACGGTTTGCGTCAAGCACCTAGAGCCTGGAACTCAAAGCTGGACAAGTCATTGAGGACACTCGGTTTTGACAGGTGTTCTTTAGAGCATGCCGTGTACATGAGAAATCAAGGTAAAGGGAATTTAATTGTTGGAGTCTACGTGGATGATTTAATAATCACTGGAGAGTGTATTCAAGACATAGACAAGTTCAAATCACAGATGAAGAAATTGTTTAGCATGAGTGACCTTGGGTTACTAAGTTACTATCTGGGAATTGAAGTTTGTCAGAATTCTCAAAGGATCACACTCAACCAGTCGGCATATGCAAGAAAGGTTTTAGACAAATGTGGTATGAAAGATTGCAACCCTTCACAAATCCCGATGGAACCTCGTCTGAAATTGAGCAAGGAAAGCACAAGTCCACCTGTAGACACAACTCTGTATCGAAGTATTGTTGGCAGTTTAAGATATCTATTGCACACACGCCCAAATTTGGCATTCTCTGTCGGCATGGTGAGTAGATACATGGAGAAGCCCACAGCGGAGCACATGGCCGCAGTAAAGCACATATTGCGGTATGTGAAAGGAACTTTAAACCTCGGTTGCGTTTATGAGAAAAATGAAGGAAGCTTGGAGCTGATCGGTTACTCTGATAGTGATCTAGCTGGTGATACTAATGACAGGAAAAGCACCTCAGGTTTAATATTTTTCCTTGGGTCTTATCCTATTAGTTGGTGTTCACAAAAACAGAAAGTGGTTGCGTTATCTTCCTGTGAAGCATCGCTGCCTGTGCAGCAGTGTGTCAAGAAGCGTGGCTGGGACGACTATTGGCAGATTTGTTAAAGACCGAGGTTAAGAAAGTGATTCTAAAGATCGATAATCAGTTTGCAATTGCATTGAGTAAGAATTCAGTTCACCATGAGAGGAGCAAACACATCGATACCCGATTCCACTACATTAGAGATTGTGTTGAATCAGGAATGATTGAGATTCAACATGTTTGCACAGAAGATCAGTGTGCTGATATTATGACAAAGTCACTTGCAAAAATCCTTGGTGTTTGTTTTGTTTTTCAAGTTTGTTACTGTTTTGAGAAAACTAACAGTGAATCGAGCGCTCCACGATCAAAGAAACCACGACAAAGATGGTGAGCACAGTAGCAACAGACCATGTCGGCTTTAATGCCAGTGTCCGTGTTCCTTCATCGTTCTCCCCACTTCCTTCCACCATTTAAATAACCCTATTCAGTATTATCAGCTTTATGAAGCCTTTCTTTCGAACTTGAAGAAACAGGACACACGATTTTCCTGTCTTAAGCTGTTATCCCACGAAATCTTGGGAAACAAACAACTCCCGTTAAAACTCACCTTAGAAACTAATCTTACACCACGTTAACACAAAGACAACACAATCTATGACCTTTAACTTCTAGAAAAAGACAATTTTTTTCCAAGTCATCAAACTTATTCCACCCAAACTTCAGCACACTATTAAACTGCAGCGTATGAACACTTTGAAAATCTTCAAAACAAAAACCACATTAGCATAAAAGACAACAGAAGTATATGATCTTCAACTTCAAGAACAAAAACAAAAACTTGTCCTGGTCTTCAAATTTATCCCACCACCGAATCTTCAATACTTGAATCAAGAACCAAGGAAAGAAGTTTCAACTCCTTTTCTGTAATAAAAGTTCAAATTTTGCCTCTCAAAAGATAAATAATTAAGACAGGAACTGAATCCCAGAGATATATATATGAAAGATGACGATGCTTCTACGCCGTCGTGTTAGACTTTAATAGTAACTATATTATCTGTTTTTTTTAGTTTCTTAAAAGACATTCAATAGATTACTATTATCGGCAGCAACCCGCTAAACTGGCTTTTTCCAATTCCTTTCGACTTTATTAGATGCTAAAGAATATAGGGCAAACTACGCGCCTATCGTATCTATACTCTTAATCTTGATATGATTTAGTGTTTAAACTTTTAATTTTCTTAAAACCATGCCTAAAGTTAGTTTTTATTCATTTTAGTATCATTGTTCAAAATTTAACAGTAAGTTTTGCAAAAATTAAAAGTTTAGGTACTAAAACTGATAGTTTAGGTACTAAACGCGTTAAGCTTTTAACAGCGGGTACTAAAATAAAACAAAAACTAAACGTTAGGCATGGTTTGAAAAAATTGAAAGTTTAGACACTAAAAGAACCAAAACTGATAATTTAGATACTGAATATGTAATTTACCCAAAAATTTATGCAGCTACTTCTATCAAATAACCATTTTATTCTAAATTTCATGATTTTTCTCACCTCTATTTTATAGTATATATATTTAAAATTTATATATTATTTTTAAAAAATATTCCATAATTTTCATATTTGGAAAATAAGAGGTGTTTGTAATTAGGTATATGCATTTCAAATACTTAAAAATATGAGTATTCATGTAACTGAATAGTTTAAAAACGATTCGTGCTCCAACCTATGAATTCAGATAATCATAAAATAAATACTCAAAATAATCGAGTCAGATCACATGATAACCGAGAGAAATTTATATACATTTTTTATGGTTGAATATTTAAGTAAACTTTACACATTAAACAATTCAATAATACTAACACAACTTATCACTTAAACTTACATAATATTAACTACTAACAAAGAATAATTCAATATATGATCGTAAAATTTAAAAATTCAAGTTTCATACCACAAATATCGTCTAAAATCATTTATTCATGGCCCAATATTATATATCATTTGCTATGTATAAAATATTGTTTTTTAATATAAAGTTTGAATATATATATTATTTTCAATTAATTTTAACTCGTCTTTATGATTTTTTTAATTTAAATTTATACTAACTATTATTTACGTTAAAAAATTATTTTACGTGTAATTCTACGTGTCTTTAACACCTACGTAAAAAAAATATAGCATACTGTTATTTTGTAACGTCTAAACCTAACACACGTAAGGTTAAAGCAATTTTCCTATTTTATTAGAAACGTCCGAACACACAAAATTAAAACAATTTTTCTATTACATTAGAGTTAGTGACAAATTCACAAATATTTTTGAGGGTGGGTGCATATATATTAAGGATATAAAATTTTTGAACGAGGTAGACATAAAAAAAATTTCAGGGTGGACATCATCAACAAAATATGTTACAATCGAAGAAATTTCATATTTCAGGGTGGTCACAATAAATTTTCAGGATGGGCACCATCAATAAAATAGATAATTAATCGAACAAAATTTGAATTTTAGAGTGGACACATGCTCACCCTTAGCCCTTATTGCATTCGCCAATGATTAGAGCAACCACGGGTATAAGTGAGATGATAAGAGTCTCTTCCAGTAGCGAATGCAGAAAAAAATTATTGGATGAGCTAATATAAATATAATAAAAATATATATATAATATTAAAATTAACCTCCAAAATTTTAATTTTGAGTTAAAAAATCTATCTGGAAACCATTAGTTAACAAATGATTAACGTTCTAAATTAAGTTTCTTTTTACCCTAAAATTAAGTTTCTTTTTACCCTAAAATGAAATATTGAAAGCTTAAATACTCAAAAAAATGGTCAAAATAACTATTTAGTCAAACATTAGAAGCCTTTTCGCCCTGAAATGAAAGGTTGAGAGCTAATATATTTAGAAAAATAGAATAGATGTCAAAATGATCATTTTGATAAATATTAAGAACTAATTTTAACATTATACCTAAAGATTTATCTAACATAATTTGTATATATATTTTAATTTAAAAATATAATAATTATATATTTAAAGTGAATCTAGACAAATATATCAACTAAACCAATATAATTTTTTTAAAAAATAATTATACATACTTTTATTTTAATTATAAATGTTTAATAATTATTATATATATATATATATATATATATATATATATATATATATATATATGGCATGAGGTGGGCATGGCAGACCCCTAGATACGTCCCTGGTCTCTTTTACCTTAATTATTGGTCGAAGATTTGATTTCATACGGTTTTAAAAGATATGATTAAAGTCTATTTTTATATATACATTTCTTTATAATTTGGATCGATTATAAAATGATATTCGCTCGAAAAATTTTTAATTATTAATAATGTATATATAACGCAGTTATTCGAATTCGAAATCTTTTTCAAAGAATTCAATCTTTAGCATTTTTAATTTCCATTGATAATAAAAAGAAGGGTAAAGTACAAAAATGATCCATTGACTATAGGATAATACTTTATTGAGTCTATTGACTATTAAAAGTTATAAAATGATCTCTCGGTTATATGAAATTATTTTGTTGAGTCCCTTGACTATTAAAAATTATAAAATGATCATCCGACTATTAATTATTGTTATGTATGGCTCATAAAAAGTCTCGTTGTGGGGTTACGAATTATGTGGGTTGGGGGTGTGGGGGCGCAGCCCCCGCGGTACGGTACAGGGTTGATTTTGTAATTATGTACCAGGGTTTTCTATTATAAATAGAGATGTAACCTAGACCTAAAAGATCATTGAATAAAACTTCTAGCGCCGCCTAGGCACCGAGGACGTAAGCACATTGCCGAACCTCGTAAAATTCTCGTGTTCTTTCGTTTTCTTTACCCGTTTTCGTCAACAATTGGTATCAGATGTCAGGAGCAAAATTCGAAGTCGCGAAATTCGATGGTCAGGGTAACTTCGGATTATGGCAAACGAGGGTGAAGGATCTATTGGCGCAGCAAGGGATCTTGAAGGCTTTGCGACCTACAAAGCCGGCGTCGATGGATGAGGAAGATTGGGAAGAATTGCAGCAGCGAGCGGCAGGAACCATACGATTATGCTTGGCGGACGAGGTCATGTATCACGTCATGCATCTATCGTCTCCAGACGAAATTTGGAGGAAGTTGGAAAGTCAGTTTATGTCCAAATCCTTAACGACAAAACTGTATCTGAAGCAGCGGCTGTATGGGCTGAAGATGCAGGACGATCACGATTTGGCGCAACACGTGAATGTCTTCAATCAAATCGTTTCTGATCTGGCTCGGCTTGATGTGAAAATTGAGGATGAAGACAGAGCGATGATTATGTTGTGTTCGTTGCCTTCCTCTTACGAACACATGGTGACTACTCTTACATATGGGAAAGAGACTATCAACGTTGAGGAGATTACTGCAGCCTTGTTGGCTCACAACCAGCGGAAACAGAATGCAGGGGAAAGCTCTCAAGCCGATAGCTTATATGTCAAGGGTAATCGAGATCGTGGACGGAAGCCAGAGAAGGCAGGGTCCGGGAAGCGGAATTCCAGATCCAAATCCAGGGATAAGAAGACGATTCACTGTTACAAGTGCAAGGAGGAGGGACATATGAAGCGAGACTTTCCGAAGTTGAAAAAGCAGACCGATGAGAAGCGTGATGGCTCATCCAAGTCTGTGAACGTGGTCGAGGATGATACTTCTGATTGCAGTGAGGGTGATATGCTTTCTATTTCAACGACACAATTGACGGATGCTTGGATTCTTGATTCTGGATGTTCTTATCACATCACGCCAAATAGGGAATGGTTTTCGACATACAGGCCGGTTAATTCTGGTTCGGTTTATTTGGGTGATGATCGATGTTGCAATATTGTTGGTATTGGTGATGTCAGAATTAAGATGCACGATGGCTCCGTTCGGACGTTGAGTGGTGTTCGACATATCTCAGACTTGAAGAAGAATTTGATTTCCTTGGGCACTTTGCACAAGAATGGTTTTATCCCTAAGGCTGACGAGGATAGGGAAACCATTCGGATTGTTAAAGGAGCATTGACTGTGATGAAAGGCAAGATGA